CGTTAAGAGGGGTAGGGTAAATTGTTTACAGGGACAGGGTGAGAGCATGGAAATGGTAGGTGGTGGCAAACCCAGGCTAGGACTAGCGTTGGGGCTAAGGGCTCGGAATCTCAGAGACCAGTACTGATTCATGATGAGGGTCGGTATTAGGCGAAACGGGGCCGGCGTAGAACGTGCACGTCATTGTGGCCCCGATACTTTTTGAGAGAATGTGTCAGGAGGGATATCGCGTTCTGTGAAGGACACAATGCATGACCAAAAAGTCGAAACTTCTCATGAGAGATCATAAAATAGAAACCACACATGGAGAGAGGAATGTGAGCAGGTACGATAATTCGGTGGTGGCGTTCTTGATCCAAGATGGTCCTTTCTCAAAGTCATAGAAGCAGCCCTAGAGAACAAATTTCGTGAGCTGCCTGCTCCAATGTCATCCAAGAACGACAAACTGGTGCACAACCTGTCGTCAAAGGAGCTGACGGAGGAACAAATGCAGGTTTTACGGCATGAGGCCTCATTCAACACAGCCGATGCCAAACCTGCCAACATGATCGCAGCAGTGGAATCAATCCTCAGCCAGACGGGAGCGACGGACGAAACGAAGAACCTCATTCGACACCAAGTGTCCTCCCTCCTCATGGCTCATAGGCCGCGCGACGTGCTTTCCAAGGTCGAGCGTGATGCACTTAAGGAACTCAGGGCCGACAACGACCTCGGTATCGTGCCTGAGGACAAGGGACGTTCAACGGTCGTATTGGACAGGACAGACTACAATCAAAAAGCCAAAAGCTTGTTGGAGGATCGTCAGTCCTATGTTCCATGCGAATCCAACCCCATGAAAACGCTGACACGCGAGATTAACGCGACGCTGTGGGCAATGGAGAACTCAAGTGCAATATCGCCAATCGACCGACGCATGGCGAGAGCACAAGAAACGGCCCTAGCCCGATTCTACGGTCTCCCAAAAGTGCACAAAGAGGGCGTTCCTCTCCGGCCTATCGTATCACTAAAGGGCACTCCAACCTACGGACTGGTAACGTGGCTGTTCCAACGTCTTAAGTTTCTGACCTTCGACTCGAACACCACAGTCAGCTCGTCAACGCAATTCTTGGAGAAGCTTAAAGGAGTAAGTCTCCTGCCAAGCGATATCATGGTTTCCTTTGATGTCACGTCCCTTTTTACTTCTATCCCGCAGGATCTGGCAGTCGAGACCATCGAACTACTCCTACGAGAGAAATACGACGAAACGGAGAATCGCCTCGGACACACCCAAATCATCCAGCTCCTGAAGTTCTGTCTCAAGACGTACTTTACGTTCGACGGAACAATCTACGAGCAGGTGAAGGGAACGCCAATGTGTTCGCCGATTTCGGGCCTCATAGCCGAGGCGGTCCTACAACGGCTGGAGTCGCTGGTTTTCCGACACCACAGACTGAAATTTTGGGCTCGGTATGTGGATGACACCTTCGTCGTCATCGGACGGGATCAGGTGCTGACGTTCAAAGAACAACTCAACGCCGTCTTCCCGGACATTCAATTTACGATGGAGGAGGAGAAAACAATCAGCTGGCCTTCCTGGATGTCCTCGTCTGCCGCAAAGATTGTGGTGGCCTAAAAACCAAAGTGTTCAGGAAAGCGACAAATACGACGCAAATACTGAACTTTTATAGCAACCACCCGATCAGTCACAAACGCAGTTGCGTAAAGGCGCTATACCGGCGCGTTGAGACGCACTGAAGTGAAATGGAAGACAAGGTTGCTGAACTACAATATCTTCGACGGGTAATGAGAGCCAATGGTTACCCGCGCAACTTTGTCAACCAGTGCGTACGAAAAGGACACCAGAGACCAGATCCAACCGGACCCAAATTTTGGCGGGCTCTTCCGAACGTGAAGAACGTCTCGGAATCCGACAGTAGTCTTCTCACTCCACTCGGAGTTGGGTTTGCACACAGGCCGGAAGCAACTATTAGGCGCCAAGCCATGAGGCCAAAAGACCCGCTGCCACGGCAGGAAACGTCTGGAGTCGTTTACCGGATCTGGTGTAGTTGCGGACAAAGCAATTATGTCGGAGAAACTGGGAGATTACTCCGTACGCGAATTGCCGAGCAAGCAGCAGCATTGAGGCGGGGAGACGCTAACTCTTAGGTGGCGGCACACTCGACGGGACCCGGCCATATTTTCAAATTTCAAGAGGTCGAAATCCTCGCAAGGAGTGACAACCGCGTGAGCCGCGAGCTGCTCGAGTCATGGTTCTCAGGCCCGCAATCCATCAACAAGCACAATGACCTCCCGGTACCCTATGGCGTACTGCGATTTTCCCTGGGCAGGAGAATCAGTCACGTGGGGAGGGCGCGGGCGAGCAATCATCCCGGGGACAGTGAGCCGGTTTGCCGAGCAATCGTCACACCAGCATCCAGCACGGATGACGAAATCGCGGCCATTAACAGCTCGGAGTCGGACCGACAAGCCACCACCGCATCAATTACGACCCCAGCGGTGATTGCGATAATTGTTAATTGCAGTGCACATACGGTCCAACGGCAGCCACGTACTATAAATACTGCATTCCTGGTGCCACCATCACCTTTATCTGCGAATTTTTCTGATGATGGATTCGAGTGAGGATCCGAAACGTCAGGCAAATAAATTTCTTGTTCCGGTGATCTCATCTTCATCTTCTGAACTGCTACCTGGAACTCGCCTGTTCGCTTCTATCAACTGTCAGGATCTTTGGTGAAAACGAGGTCCAGACAACTAGCCTGTTGCCCTCCACGTGCTCCAGTTGGAGATAGGACACGTTGCGTGAGAAGAGCCTCTAGGGTTGTCTTTAGTAGACGGCAATCTAAGGCATTCTTCGAGCACTTCGCATGCATATCGCTCCATTGAATGCAAGGTGCATTAAAATCCCCCATGAGAAAAACGTCTGGTCGACTGGCGATCTATTTTATGCTTTCTAGCAGACAATTATCTGAGTCAGGATCCGCCTGAGGGGGCCGGTAGATGGTTAGGACTTCGAGGGACTGAGACCCCCGTGCCTTTATAGTCAGCCAAATTGCCTCTGTGTCGTTAGAAATGTTATCCGTCCTCTCACACACTGTTAAGTTGCTCTTTACATACATGGCAACTCCTCCACCCCGGCGGCCTCTCCTGTCTCTCCTAAACAATTGGTATCCTGTTAGGGCTACCTCGCAATCCCCCACGTTCTCTGACAGCCACGTTCCTGTTATTGCTATAACATCAGGAGGATTATCGGCTACTTGTATTCTCAGTTCATCAAGCTTGGAAAACAGACTCTGAGCATTGGTGTAAAAGAATTTAAGTTAATAACATTCGACAGTACTTCGTTCGGTTTGTCTCGGGCTTGACAATATTATGTTGCTGCCGCCATCATGATGACTGGCTGGTTCCAAAGCAACATCGCATTCCTCTGTATTACTCGTCCCCTGAGAATTGCCAAGTTGCTTTCTCCTGTTGCATGTCTCCTCTTCAGCTCCGTCACTAAAACGCGGCGTTTTAGACGTTCCGCTGGTGAATAGTCCGGTTGAAAAAAACTTCCTTGTGACAGTTTTAGAGGCAGCTTTTCCTGGACAGAAGTAAGCTAGCCTCCTCTTTACTGCCCAGAACGATTTTCAGAGGTCGTGACCGCACAGTTTCCGATTATTCGCTCACCTTCTTTCTGATCATGAAGGCTGCGTGAATAGTTACCCTTTCATTCGAATTAAGCATTTTGTTCAGAAGGTGTTGAAGCATATCGAGGTCAGCGGAAATCCTCTCCTTAGGGGTAGGAGCATTCGACTCAGATAGGCCCTGAACGACTATGCAGTGCTGACGATCCAGGGGTTCATTTGTTCTGTTTCCGGCGGCCTTGTCAGCTGAAGGTCTCAGGAGATCCACCGGAATCATCTGGGATTTTATACTCTTGTTGTGGTGCTTACCCATTCCATCTTGCCACGAGCTTGTTTCCTCACTTCCAACCGAGGGTACTACTGAACACGCGGAATGGCTGTGTCAAGTTGATGGGTCGCTTCGGTTGTCTTCCGTAAAAACAGGAGACTACGTTGCTATTTATCATCGTCATTAGTATCAGCGTACTTGCACTGAGGTTTTCCACAAACCTTGTTCTTTGGCTGTTTTGGAGTTTTGCTCTTCCCCTTTGTCTTGCTGACTCTAGCGCTGTTAACCGCGTTTTGCCTACCATCGTTCGTTTGCACGAGTTCCTTTAAAGCAGCCAGCTCTTTTTCAAGTTTTTGGACTTTCAGAAGAATATAGGAGCACCCAATGCACGACTCGTCCTCGTAACTAACAGCTTTTGCTGTGGTTACGCTTTTAGCGCGCTTTGCGGGCCCCTGGTTGCAACTGTAAAGAAAGCGGGCGCTAATCCTGGGAAGTAAGGCCATGTCAATAGACTTTTCTTCATGCATAATGCCGGTCCTGGTCGTGGAACTACCAAAAAGTTGCTCTGTGTCCATGAATTTCGTGTGTTTGTAAGTTTATATTCGCTTTCGAGATTCAAACAGGTAATTACGACTGTATACGATGGAGTATGGCAAATATTCGAATCCAAATGGTCGAAAATACGCCTATTTTTAAAAAAGTCGATGTAGAGGAAAAATATGAACGGTATGAAATATGTGTAGGAGCGACTCAGCCGTCTTGAGAATATCGAAGGCCCTGAATAACTCCCGATCTTCCTGGGTGTCGACGATCTTGTTTTCCTAGGCCGATTTCTGCGCGCGAATCGACTTCGTAGCCCGTTGGATTTCGATGAAAATCAAATTCCGCTTAGAGACAGACTACTGATAAATTTCCACGCGAGAAAAAATTTCCAGAGACGCAGAAAGAAATTTGATAAGTACAGTTCCAGCGGCAACCTCAGAGATGGTAACTGTGAAGTGGTATCTACGTCAAAATAGTCCCAGTTGGAGCTCAGAAAATGTCGTTGTGCTCAGTTGGGCTCGGCCCAGATTTTTTGGCACCTTCATGCGCCCTCATCTTGAATACGACATATAGGCATGGAGACCAAGGACTGTCAACGACTATACGATCCTAGAGAAGGTCCAGAGACGGGCGACTAAAATGACAAAGGGTCTGAAAGCACTGCCCTATGAAACCAGACTGTTAACTGTTAACCTGTTTCCCCTTTCCTACAGGAAACTACGCGGTGACCTTATACTAATATTCCGCATTATAAGCGGCCTGGACAGTTGCTTAGATCCCAATGATTACTTCCCTCAAGCTAACATGCCAACTTTGCGCGGCCATCTCCTAAAATTATGTTCCGATAAAGTAAAAATCAGTGGACGAAAGTTCTTCGTCAATAACAAAGTGGTTGCAGCGTGGAACGCCCTGCCTACTGATGTTGGACTCTTCTCCTCTGTGGACTCGACGCGTATTAAGCTTCCCAATTACAAGTCATACAAGTCTGAAAGCTCAGGATAATAAACGAATTGTTCCGGTGCTCGATTCTTCTTCTTCTTCAAACAAGTCATACACTCAGTTACACGAGCCGCCACCCAACTCACATATGTTTGTACTACTTACAATGAGCGAGTAACAGTTAATGATTACAATTTATCGACAAGCTGACACCTGCCTGCCTTTCACATGCCATTATGCACAAAATCTCTTTTTCATCTTGCCACTTATCGGTGCTCTTTTTAAACGATTTGTAATCAATAGGGAGTTCAAAGTTGCTCGCCTATATTTCCCTTAATAAAACTGAATCGAGCTGAACCCACATATGTGGACTATCTGTTCAGTTCAGTTCGGTTTATTGATGGAAACTGGCATGAACCTTTGAGTAACCTGCCTGCAACGTAAAAATGGCTGCGGTGTGAAGAGAAAATATATGGGTCAAAATAATTCAACTGGGCCCATAATGATATGACGAATTCGGCTTGACTCTGAGTGGCTGAGCTCGGTCTCCCATCGCTCTTGCTCAGTTTGAGGCATAAATATGGCAAAGTTCCTTTTGAAGTTTATATCGATGGTGACACCACAACGTGTGCGGGTAGGGCATTCCATGGTATGACCACTAGAAAGGAGAAGGAGAACTTCCGCACATCCAGCTTTGCCTGCTGAGTACGCAGTTTTAACGGATGACCTCAGAGGTTGGTCGTGGTGGCGAATTCAAAAAGTCCTCTAAGGCCAGGCTGCAGTCCAATCCCTTCAAAATGCGAAACGTTTGTAAGAAATCCCTGCGCAGTTGCCTATAACTCGAAGGGAAGCGATTCAGATTTGTTACACGGCTTTCATAAGGAAATGAGCTTTGACCCTAAACCATTTTCGAGGTTCTCCTCTGAGCTCTTTCGAGGTAATGTTGATCTTGAATCGCCCACGGTCTCCAGACTTACATGCCGTATTCCAAGTGCGGCCACGTGAATGTTCCGAAAGTCTTTGAAAAGACGTCTACGTCAAGATCGATAAATGCACGTTTGATGGCGAACAGAACAAACATTGCGCTCTTGCCACTGTCGGAAAATGAGCGGATAATTCTAGAGAGTTCGTCGTCAGCACACTGGGGTCTTTTTGGCTTCGACGGCTCGTTGGGTTTCACTGTCAAGGAAATAGTTTCTTGTGCTGGCGGATCTGGATGGAAAGTCAACTGGCTAA